CTACAGTTCCCTCAATTGATGAATTATTCTCTCGTCTGCTTCGTCTTGTTGCACTTCCCAGTCACAAAGAAGTTTCATCACCCATTGTTGACTCCTCTATTCTCGCATCTCAAACCATAGAAAAGCGTACATACCAATCTATGGAGAATCGGCGAAGAGGAGGGTGTTTTGGGAAACCTCGATCCAAGTGTAGTCATTGTCATAAACCTAGACACACTCGTGATATATGTTATATTTTGCATGGTCCACCACCCAATTATGATCCTATTGTTCTTAAGAAATATAATGAGTTTCTTCGAAATCGCGCAAGTAAACAGACATCTCCACCAGTAGCATATGGTGCTCAACCTAATCAACCATCCAATAATGCTCATATTGCCCGACATAATATGATGAGTTCCTTCGATATCGTGCAAATAAACAAACATCTCCACAAGTAGTTTCGGTTGCACAACCTGATGTTTCTGTTGCGGGTAATTTTTTTGCTTATGTGTCACAGTCTAGTCCTCTTGGATCATAGGTCATGGACTCAGGGGCTTCTGATCATATCTCTGGTAATAAATCACTTTTGTCCGATATTATTTATTCACAATCTCTTCCTGCTATTACTTTAGCTAATGGGATCCAAACAAAACCAAAAGGGGTTGGAAAAGCCAAACCCCTATCTTCTATCACCCTAGACTCTGTTCTTTATGTCTCTGGTTCTCCTTTTAATCTAGCAAAATGTTAGTCGTTTGACGAAGGCTCTACATTGTAGCATAACTTTTTTTGATGACTTTTTTCTCATAAAGGACCGGTCCAACGGGATAGACGATTGGAACAGGACATGAATCACAAGGCCTTTACTATCTGGCCTATTCAAATTCCTTGAAAGCATGCTCTGTTACAGATTCCCCAGATCTAATTCACAAACGTTTGGGACATCCGAGTCTATCCAAACTGCAAAAGATGGTGCCTAGTTTGTCTAGTTTATCCAAATTAGATTGTGAGTCGTGTCAACTTGGGAAACACACTCGTGCTACATTTTCACGTAGTACTGAGGGTCGTTCAGAGTCTATTTTTTTATTAGTTCATTCTGATATTTAGGGTCCTAGTAGAGTCGGTTCCATTTTAGGATTCGATATTTTGTTAGTTTCATTGATGATTATTCAAGATGTACTTGGGTTTTCTTAATGAAAGATCGTTCTGGGTTATTTTCTATATTCAAAAGTTTCTTTGCTGAAATACAAAATCAATTTGGTGTTTCTATTCGTACTTTTCGTAGTGATAATGCCTCCCAATTTCAGGAGTTTATGACTCACCAAGGCATTATTCACCAGACTACTTGTCCATACACCCCTCAACAAAACGGTGTAGCAGAAAGGAAAATAGGCATCTTATTGAGACTGCTTGTACTCTTCTCCTTGAATCCCATGTTCCGCTGCGTTTTTGGGAGATGTAGTTCTTACATCTTGTTATTTAATAAATAAATGCCCTCATCTTCTATTCAGAATCAGGTTCCACATCCCATACTGTTTCCTGAGTCACATCTCTATCCTATCCCCCCTCGTGTCTTTGGGAGCACATGTTTTGTTCATAACTTAGCCCCAAGGAAAGATAAATTAGCCCCTCGTGCCCTCAAATGTGTCTTTCTTAGTTACTCTCGAGTTCAAAAAAGGTATCATTGTTATTCACATGATCTTCATCGATACCTTATGTCCGTTGATGTTACATTCTTTGAGTCTCAGCCTTACTATACGTCTTCTGATCATCCAGAAGTATATATGGTCCTACCCATACCTCAGGTTTTACCTGTACCAACTTTTGAGGAATCTACGGTTACTTCTACATCTCCAGTTGTAGTGCCATCACTCCTAACTTATCATCGCCGTCCGCGTCCAACGCTAGTCCCAGATGATTCATGTCATGCGCCAGACCCTGCTCCTACTGCGGACTTGCCTCCTCCTAGCCAACCGCTTGCACTTCAAAAAGGTATACGATCCACTCAAAATACTAACCCTCATTATACCTTCTTGAGTTATCATCGTCTATCATCACCCCATTATGCCTTTGTATCGTTTTTGTCCTTTATTTCCATTCCTAAGACTACAGGTGAATCACTCTCATTCTGGATGGAGGCAGACTATGGTTGATGAGATGCCTGCTTTGCATAAGAGTGGTATTTGGGAGCTTGTCTCTCTTCTTACAGGTAAATCTACTGTTGGTTGTCGTTGGGTTTATGCAGTCAAAATTGATCCAGACGGTCAGGTTGATTGACTTAAGGCTCGGTTGTTGCCAAAAGGTATACTCAGATATTTGGGCTAGATTATAGTGACACTTTCGCTCCTGTGGCTAAAATAGCATATGTCTGTCTTTTTCTATCTATGGATGTCGTTCGTTATTGCTTCATCAGTTGGACATTAAGAATGCTTTTCTGCATGGTGATCTTGAGAAGGAAGTCTATATGGAGCAACCACCTGGTTTTGTTGCTCACGGGGAGTCTAGTAGCCTTGTATGTCGATTGCGTAGGTCACTCTATGGTCTGAAGCAGTCTCCTAGAGCTTGGTTTGGGAAGCTCAACACAGTTCTTTAACAATTTGGCATGACTAGTAGTAGAGCTGATCACTCTGTGTTTTATCGGCATTCTGCACCAAATCAGTGTATCTATTTGGTTGTGTACGTTGATGTATTGTTATCACTAGTAATGATCAAGATGGTATCACCAAATTGAAGCAACATCTCTTTAAGCACTTCCAGACTAAAGACCTTGGCAGATTGAAGTATTTTCTAGGTATTGAGGTTGCTCAGTCTAGATCAAGTATTGTTATTTCTCAATGCAAGCATGCCTTAGACATTCTTGAGGAGACGGGAATGATGGGATGTAGACCTACTGACACTCTTATGGATCCGAATGTTAAACTCCTTCGGACAGGGGGAGCCACTTAGTAATCCTGAAAAGTATAGACAGCTCGTTGGAAAATTGAATTATCTCACAGTAACTAGACTTGACATCTCTTTTCTTGTGAGTGTTGTAAGTTAGTTTATGACTTCCCCTTATAATAGTCATTGGGAAGCAGTTGTTCGTATCCTGCGATATATAAAGTCAGCTCCCGGTAAAGGACTACTCTATGAGGATCAAGGCCATGAGCATATCACAGACGTTGATTGGGCAGGATCACTCTCTAATAGACGTTCGACATCCGGATGTTGTGTTTTAGTAGGAGGTAATTTGGTGTCGTGGAAGAGTAAGAAACAAAGTGTGGTTGCTCAATCTAGTGCATAATCAGAATATCGAGCAATGGCTGCAGAAACTTGTGAGCTAGTTTGGATCAAACAGTTGTTGGGAGAACTAAAATTTGGCAAAATTGATCAGATGGAACTTGTGTGTGACAATCAAGCAGCTCTTCATATCGCATCAAATCCAGTGTTTCATAAAAGGACTAAGCACATTGAGATTGACTATCACTTTGTCAAAGAAAAGATACTCTCAGGAGAAATTGTTACGAAATTTGTGAAGTCAAATGATAAGCTTGCAGATATCTTCACCAAGTCCCTCACAAGTCCTTGTATTAATTACATCTGTAACAAGCCTGGTACATATGATTTGTATGCACCAGCTTGAGGGGAGTGTTAGAATAGAAATAAGTATATATATTCCTATTTAGAATAGGAATAAGAATAGGAATAGGAATCCTAGTTAGAAAAGGATTCCAATGTATTGTCTATAAATAGGGTCTCAATGTAACAATTTAGATACACAATTCAATAAAAAATTTCCCATATATTTCTCACAAGAAGCATAATGACTTTCAGAGTACTTTTTTTTTTTTTTTGATAACCGAGAATTTCGTCTGTGACCCGCCCTTTGGACCAATCACAGCCTTCTAAACTCGGTGGATAATGGGCCCGCCCCTCTACCCTTCTCCACTTAAATACCGGACTTCGCTTTGCATGGTGTGGGGCTTGAACCTGCGACCTAAGCCACAAATCCTCCACCTTTTGCCACTTGAGCTAGGCCTTGGGGGCAATGACTTTCAGAGTACTAATTAAATACTTCTGCTTCACAATGATAAAAGAGTATTTGTAGGGCAAATTTACATACATAAAGGATCCTTTTAACCAAATTTCAAGTATGCTATTCTCTCTAATTTCTTTCTTTTCTATTTTGATGTGTTTTGTCTGTTACCTGCTTTGGAAATCCGGATTCGTGCTGGGAAGTCTCGTTTGGGTTTGGGGAGGTTGGGGGGGGGGGGGGGA